CATATTTTTTTCAAAAATTTGGACGTAAATTTTGACGCGAGGCGTGTATATGTGTGTGTGAGTGTATGTGTGTGTGCGTGTGTGCGTAAGTGGAGACCATATGCAAACAAACAATTATTGAAGAAAAAAATTTTTTTATGCTTTCGTAATAAAGTTAAAAGTCGTCTGAGTAGAAATTACGTACGTAAACTATTTGAGAACGTTACACGAGAATATCTTTCGCGAGCACGCAGCAGGCGGATTTAAAAAAAAAAAAAATTCAAAAAGAGGGTAAAATGCGAAGCAAAGACTTCACTTATACTAGACTCTTAGCTCCTCGGCTTAAATGTCGTTGGAAGTACTTTTTGAGAGCAGTAAAAGTGAAGCGCGAATAAAAGAGAGATGCTGGATTAAAGACTCCTCTCTTTTTTCACAACCGAAAGTTTCTTCTTTTTTTTTTCTTAAAGCAGCTCGCCATCAGCCGCGCGGTCTTTTGTAATTGAGATGCTACTAGTTTTTGTTTCCAAACGAAGTACTCCTCCTTTTCTTTGTCACCTTATTGGGTTTATTTTATTTTTTTGCGGACGATCCTCTAAAATATCTTGGTTAAAACAATTACGATAAAATATCCCGCGTAAATTAGAGCAGACTCGTGTTTTTTTTGCTCTGCGAAACCCCCGTTCGATATGTACCACAGCTCCCGAGTTTTCACGAAATATTAACAGTTCGTATACCCTCTTTCCCCGAAAAAGGTAAATCAATTGCTAGAGCTTTTTTAGCAGGTCGTCGAAAAAATAGCATATCTCAAAAAATTGTAGAGGGCGTATATCGGTGAGCCGAGTTCATGATAGCAACGCTAGCGAACGCGAAAAGAGTGCTTTTACTGTTTTTATATTTATAGCGGCAACAGCTGCCGCTGTTGAGTTACGTCGAGTGCCATTGACGGGCTGAATTAATTTTCATGAATTTTTCATTTTTATACTGCTTTTATGACGCTTGTTTGCACGTGTTTCATTCTTCATTCACTGTCCCGGGATATATAATATGAAAAGAGAGGTAGGAACTCGTGTATATACCGTACTGAATGAAAAAACGCTTTGACATTGGCTTGACAGGTGGCGGTACGGCGTGATGCCTCTTGCGCATTCGCAAGTAGTACGAGTCAATATCGCGCCAGGCAATATGCTAATTAGCGTCACTTCCCTTTTCCTGCGATTCTTGTTACATTTATTCCCATCTAATTCCTTCAAAATTCAATCTTTTGATACATTGTTGAATAATTCAAAATTAATTGTGCTTTTAAAAGAATAAAAAACATGACATACACGCCATATTACAAGTTTCACATTCAAAAAGAGCATACATAATACCAGCAGATTAGCATTAAATGAATCTAACTAAAAATAAAGTAACTCCGTTCCACTTTGATCAAACACATCCAACGTGAGCTATACATCCATCGTATTGTCCAAGGACGCGCGAGAACGTCAAGTGAAACTCGTTGAGACGACGAAAACACGAACGAACGAGAGCGAGAGAAAAGAATGTCCTAAGACGTGGGTCGAGCAAAGATGAAGACGAAGTGCGCGCGATGAATTCGCTTCTCTACCTTCATTTTTTTCTCCTACTTTTTTTTCTTCTTTTGTTTGAGCTACGCCGAACGAAAAAAACGAAAAAGAGAGACATTGTGCGCACGACCGAGTCAATCCTTGGAAGTAGAGAAAAGCTCGTCGTCGCGTGTGAAGAATTTACATGTACCAGTCTATATCCACCTCTTATTCAGTTTTCTTTTTCTCCACTACTTGGACCAAGTGTGATTGCGAAGTAAGTTATCGCCGTCGGGATGTTTTTGATATTGTATTTTTGGTATATTTTACCTTTAAAATACATTCTTACACAATGTTTTGAAAATTGCAGTACAAATTTTAAGCAATCGACGTTTGAATTTTTACAAACAGAGAATTGTTCTGGCAATAAATTGACATCTTGTAAATAAATTAGAACTATTCTAATTTAGAAGTGCCGGCAAAGAAGACACACAAAAGCATCCCACTTGCAACCATTCCCTTTGCAGCGAAAAGAAGCTCATCCCATAAAGTCCCCAAAATTTTGTGCAGTTGCGTTTAATTTCGATGAATCTCGAGCACTGAAATGAGTGATTTAATTTCAACAAAAGCCATAATGCTTCTTGCGCTAACTTGAAATAATTGATTAGAGCTCAAAACAGATTATCATATTGGCTGGCCTGCTTAATGATTTCTAAAAGTCGATTAATCGAATGTCGAATTGTCGAGTCATTTTTCGAAAAACAAAGGAAAAAGGAATAACTTAACTTAACTTAATACTGGAAGACAATTTGTTTTGAAACAAATACACCGAAAATGCGAATGAGAAAGAGACTAAGTGTCGAGGAAGCAAGAAGACTTAAAAGTTAATTTACTCGTAACATCGCAGAATGTAAGCGTCGAAAATCAAAGCGACTGCTTTTTGGCTCCCCTCCTCGCAGGCAGCTAATTCGGCTTTTATCTCTTGGCGCATTTCAACATGCACGAGAAATAAAGCGAGCCGCGGAATTAAGAGTAGCGAGCGGGGAGAGGTTGAAGTAGAAACTTTCCCCCCAAAAGGTTTTCTCCCTTAATTAATCGCCTCGTTACTTGCGAGATGCGTTCTCTCTCTCACTCTCTCTCACTCGCGGATTACAATATTTTGGGAGGCGCTAACGCAGTTGGCAGTTATCGTTTGGCAGAGCGAACGAGCAACTCACCTGATTCGTTCTCTATTTCCTTGTCACGTTTGAAACAGAAGGGACACGTTGGCAAGCTCCCTTGGCGTTTATTAGCCCACAAGTGAGAGAGAAAGAGACAGGAGGAAGCTACCGGAGATTGTCAGAGCTCGTTTGCCTTTTAAACGTTTGCTGGCTTTTTCGAGTGAGATATCCTATCGCCGACACTTTGCCAAAAAGTTTGGCAAAGTCCGATGCTCAGTGAATTGCTATATAACGTTTTGTCACGGAAGAAAACTCGCTTGTGCACGCGTATTTTGGTTTTGCTATTGAGAATAGAGCTAATGTGATGCGAAATCCTCGTTTTAGGCGCGATGTTTGAAAGTTTGGTACAGTGAGATGGTTGCAAGTTTGATTGCATTACCTACGGAATTTCCAAAAAAGTTAGATGTTCAAATGTTAGTGCTATCGTAATGTTAAGAAGTAGCTTTAGATTAAGCTTATCCAAGTATACGTGCTTCAGAATTACTGAAGAAGGATACTATAAATTTTAAGATTTTTTTTAAAGACAAAACCGATATTAAACAACGAAATCAGTGGTTGTCGATACATAACGAATAGATTTTGCTTACTAAGTCACTGAAAAATCCTTTGTACTATTTTTTTTTGTCATCTCAAATCTTTGCAAATGTCTAATAACTTCATAAAACTAAAAAATGTTTGCTCGCATCTGAATAAATTAAGTTATTTTTTATTTTTCTCAATCTCGTTCTTTCTGTTGATCCCCGATATACGCGCATTAGAATCCGAATTTAATACTGAATAGAGATAGCTACGAAGGTAGGCGAACGTGAAACTTCTAAACACACTTAATTTCTATTACAATTTTCGACCCTCAAAAGAAATGTCTGCTAATGAATATTGACCGCGAGAGGTAAAAGCAAAAAATAAAGAAGTGCTAGCTGCAGCCTAAGAAGAAGAGTGAATGAATAAGCTTCTCTCTTGCAGAGAAAAAGAAACAGACACGGCGCGGTGTGCAGGCGTATAACGAAGGGAGCCTCTCCCCCGCGAAAAAGAGGAAGCTCGACGGCTTTATCCTAATTGCCGGCAATAAAAGCTTTTTATCGGGAAGCACTCCCCGCGCTCTGCCAGCGTCGCTATCTGCCGCGCGCTCCACCCCCGCGGCGGTCAAGTCAAGGATGCGGACAAGTAAAAACCTAATATCTGGTTTGTCGTAAAAGCCACCGTCGGCGTGCTGCCTTTTTTAGCTGCAAGATTGCGAGCTCCAGATATGTGCCGCTCGTAGCTTCTCCGTGTTCCTTCCATCTTCTCGTCGTCTTCCCTTTTTCCCGCCAAAATTTTGAATTAGAATGCAACGCGTCGCTGCCGCGAGATTCTTGTTAGCCTTCAAACAGAAAGCATTTTTGAGGTGGAGTTAGTTTCTACGATGTCAAATGTGTAGACACACTTGAGATTAAAACTTAAGTGGATCAGTAGAGAGCTGCGTGAGTAAATGGAATTTCCGAAATGTCAGCGTGATAAAACGGGTTCAATGGCCTAGTCGATTCGGACGGATTGTGTTATCTCAACCGGTAAGCCGAAACTTGATTAAACGAGATGGCGCAAGTGAGATTAGACGGTCCCGGCTAAAACATTTATTGGTCCCAATTGCAACAAAACCTTGGTTTGTGCGTAAACTTAATGGTGACAATACTTCATGGATAAATAGTAAATCCGTGCAGGCATTTCTTGGAAAATCGAATAATTATATTAACGAGCCAATCTGAAATTAATCACGAATGGATAATAATTATCTAATTGATCGTATCGATTTCGTGGCATTATCTTTTCAGATATCCAAAGCTAGAGACATTCTATATAACGAATTAATAGTTTTAATGTGTGGACAATAGAATTATTAATCTATATAAATACAGCCGCCTGATCAGTCGGTGCGTATTCACAAGTGGCTGAAATATCGAAACGCTTGGTAAGTTGTCATTCTTGATATTTTTACTTTGGCGATGGCGGTGCTTCATTGTCTTACTAACAACGTATTACGTTGTTAGTAAGCATGGTGTAGCAATAAAACAATTTATTTTCTCCCGCGGAATTGTATAATCACTTGACAGCACGCATATAATACAATGAGAACACAAAATAGAAGTGAAAATTTGTTGTCTTGACATTCCCGTGTTCTCGAAAATATTTGCGAATTAGAACCTGACTCGAAGAAATCACGTAATTAACTCGACTATATATTTTCTACACCAGATCGCACTCCTGCAAGCAAAAAAAAATGACGTCTCAAAAGCTTCTGTCGTTGCTTGTTTTGCTCGCCACCTTGGCAGCATTCGTCAGCGCGCAAGAGCTTGAGTCCATCCCGAAAAATCTAATTATCGGCTACCGCGAGCCTGGTGATTATCTCATTCAGAAGGAAGAAATCAAGAAACCAGCCAGGTTCCTGAGCCGCCACATTTACGAAAAAACCTACGTCGGGGATAATCATTCCATTATAACGCAAGTCAGAATTGTTGATATGAGCACTAATGGTCATGGCGCTACCGCGAAAGTCATTACTGGAGGTGTAGGTCGATCATTTATCTCTATTTCGCTCAAAGGTCTGTACAATTTCGGCATCAATAATGTCGTAGAAATTTATGGTAAGAAGCCCATTAAAAATTAATTATTCCAATGTCAAAGATTTCGTAGTATTGAATAAACATATTAAAATAGTACAGTTGTATCTATTTTTTTTGTCGCATAAAAATAAGCATTGAAATAAACAAAATTCGACTGGCTGATTAGATATGACATTTGTGAACGTTTGAAGCTATTTCATTCGAGACTCTAAAAAATAAGATAAGATAAACACTTGAGATCGTAAAAAATAGCGAACTTCGGACGTCGTATATATATCTACACAGAATAATTTATACATACTTGATAGTGATCACAGGGAATCCTAAGACATTTCGCATGGCGCGCGTAATTGAATATTTGATAAATAACCAAACAACGATCGAAAACCATCGAAGATGCGCGCAGGGCATCAAACGATAAATCCATCAGAGCTGAAAGGTAAATAACTCAGCATTTAAGCCTTCAGCAGACGGAGAGCCGTCAGAATTCATCAGATCGCGCGCCCGCGTGTATAGGGATAAATTGTAGTTTGCTCGCGCGGGTCCGCTCATAAATTTCGCACGCGCTGCCTCATAACCACCAACTAAGTCCTCTCTGACTACATAACTCGGCGGTCGAGATAGGGAAATTGAAAAAAAAAACCGAGGGAGGAGAAAAAAAAGACACGTTTAATCAGCATTCATTGCGTCGCGGCCAATAAAGAATCCTTTATCGCGCGAGCAAGCGCGAACAAAAGGCCGCTAATACGCGTAACTTCGAGTCGTCCCGGAGTAGCGAATCTAATAAAAGTTGGTCAGCCATAGCGAGAAGAGAGGAAGGGGAAAAAGTGATAAGTCGCGCGGACGTTCCGGCGAGCTTATTAAGGGCTGGCGAACACGAGATTACCTTTGTAAACCAACCTCGTGTTCGTGAAAAAATGCTTACCTGCCAGTTGACGTGGCCGGCTCTTGCATCGTATTTCGTTACGGCGAACGAAGTCTTTTTACTGTCGGATCTTTTAAATGAGAACTGGACAAAAGAAGCACACCGATGTGAAGCAATTAATTTTTAGTGGATATATATGTGTTGAAAAAATCGAGAAAGAAAGAGAATACTGGAATATTGCAAAATTACATCAGATGATTTCCGTGAAATAAGATGATTGATCTTTCGGATTTCCTTCAAAATTTGTTGATATATGCATGTGAAATTGAAATATCTGACTAAAAGTGAATAACAGATCAATCCCCCTGAAACGTTTGCAGCAGCTTTTTTTGTTGCTGCTAAAATTAAAAATAAAATCAGAACAAGAGAGAGTGAACTGGAAATATAAGTGCAAATAATTCGTAACAAGGGGCAGCAAAGCGATAGCAGAAAAAATTCCTATAGCTCTGTGTGGCTTTAAATCAGCACTTAAATAACGCTTATCCGTGACTTGAATTACTTACTTTCGATACGCATCACTCAAGTAACCCATTACTGCGTGGCGATAATTCCGTCGTGCAACGGCGTTACAATGAACCACTCAAAGTCATGGATAAACGTAACATAAGAGCTGATCTAAATGTCGTAGTGCTATAAATAACTGTCTGTTATCATTGAAATAGTGAAGAGAATCAGATACTCATGCGATTAAGGTTCGATTGCGAGAGTGAGACTACGTGTAATATATATGGTGCGTGAACAGAACAACCGCCGAACCAACTGGGATCCTTAGCAGGCGAATTATAATCAAATATTCTTCTGATAATACATCATATACATACCTAGCAGTCAAGTGACATTATATATGACGTTACATATTGTTACCTGCTTCTAAAGGCGTTGATCAATTATTTTGCATATATATGAAAACTGTAATGGTTTAAAAATAAAATCTTTCAAAAACTAAGGCAATTAAATTGTTATCATAGTAGCATTCAATAATCAGTAATGATCTTCGACAAACAGGATTCATTTTAGATATGTTGTCAATTACAGAACTTGCAGATAAGGTAAGGTGTGTAAAAAGCTACGACTATATAAGTGAAAAATTACAGCAACAAACGAACGTGTATACAGAGTACTGGACTGAGGCCTGCGTATCATTACTGTCTCTGTAGTGATGGACATACTTTCTCTACTTAATCAGCAGGTAAGCAGATCTGATAAAAATAGTTACGAAATTCGAAATATAATAGTCAATGAATAAATGATTCGAAAATGGATATTAACTTACTTTTGATTGAGAGAGTACAATTTTTTTAAAATCATTATGATTTAGTTCCCATTATTTCAAACCCCTTCGACTATTATCAGATTAAAGCCGTGACGTTAGAAGACAACTGCATTCGCAATTCGAATGATTTAATTCTAAATATGCAGATAAAAATAATGAAAAGTAGACAAAAAATTGCTTTTTTTGCCGGTAATATAGTCAAGTATTCGAAAAAAATAATTTGAAAATTACACTAATGCTTACTACATAATTACATACAAAATAAATGACAAAAAAATCAAAACAATAGCTTCTTATTGATTATAGAATAATATCTGAAAACTATTGATTATTTGCAGTTGATTTCATTAATTTATCGGCATACATGATATTAGAGCGGACGAGGTTTGAACATAGGAGAGTGTTGAATGCTGAAGGCGAAATTGAAAGTATCACGATGCTGATGCATGTGACGACAAATTGTTCGTCAAAAAGCAGACGATGACTCGCACACGTAGAGGTAGTGATGGCATACTTGAGCTGCATTTCAAAGGTAGAAAGAGTCTAAATAACCAAGCGGTAGATGTCCTATAATGTCGAAGGGTGGCTTGCAAAGGCCTATTAAGATGAGTAATCTTTGTAGGAAAAACATGATATTAACATAGGTAGTGCTCGATATTCACCTTATGAAAGATCTTAAGCAATTGACTCAGTCAATTGGTGACAAGTCTACGAATGAGGCTCAAGTGACTCAACGTTGATCGGTCGTGGATGACCAATCATCATTTTGTATCAATCAAAAAAACTTTGGTGTGAATGGTATTCAAACAATTTCAAAGAATTACTAATTGCTTGAAATGAAACTTTAGCGTTAAAAATAGTTATTGAAGAACGTTATAGAAATTAACTATGTGATAAAATGATTACGCAACAAAATTCTTGGTTAACTAATCAATTAATGATGATCAACTTGCGCCTCACTGGTCGATTTGGCTAAACAATTGCATGAGATTTGGACAAAATAATATAAAATTTAGAGAAATGCTAAATACATAGTTTTGTATGTAAAGTATTACAAATCGAGAAAAACAGACGAACCAAAATAACTTGACTTGAGAGCTTCTTATTAATTAAAAACAAATAACAGACGATTATAAATCTTCTAAAGGTATTTCAAGTATATTTTGATACTAAAAAGAAAATTATTTTTTCAATTAAACACAAAAATCAGAAAAACGATGGCCACAAATGATAATTTTCAAGCGATTGTCGTTTCAAGGCTTCCTTTTCAAAGGAGCAGAAACGCGCACATATATACGCAGTTTCTCCCGGCTGCACACGACACATGTGTGATCTCGTTATACGCACGGCTGTAATAAAAGCGTTGGTCAAACTAATAAAAACGAGCCGCAGGGTGTCTTGCCGCGCCTTTTTTTTTTGTTCCCCTCTTGCACGTCGACGTAACTTTTGGTCGTCTGCAAATAGAGACAGGAAAATGTGGACCATGCTATTATTGTCAACCAGGATGGATCTTGCAACTTTTTGTCCTCTTTCAGAAAAGCGTTTGTTTTTTTTTATTCCCTTCGAGTTCTTATTGAGTTTTTGAGAGCTACAGCAAGTAAGTTTTCCAAAAAAAAAAGCACAAGGGAAGCGTTCAAACGACCAAATTACAAAGGAAAGCGGAACTCCGAGTAGTAAACGGTCGGTAGGTGAGTAATAGGTGTCTGTTCGAATGCGTTGGTACTCAAGTTTAATAGCACAACTCTCCAGGCTTTCGAAGCTGCGAGTTACTCGGCTTTTGCGACACATGCTCGCGCATCCGACTAATCACTTCGCTTGATTTCTCGACCATTATCTTCAATAAATACTTCACAAGACTTCCCATCAAAGTGTAACTCAAGAGTCACTCATTCAAAGAAATCTTTATGATAAAACTTTCGACCAGCTCACGAGTGCAAAGAACACAACTTCAGATTAGAAAGTCTGGGGTAAACTCGTATAGAACATTCATCTTCGAAGTATTACGAAAGTTCGTCCAGCGCAAGTGTATTTTCAAAGTATTGTCAGAAATGATTGATTTATTTTGAAAGAAATCACGTCAATACGTATTATTTCATCGTTTTGTTTTGGGTTACTAGCTTTCCGAAGTCTGCGCCTCACATGTTCACCTTACGTTTGTTCGAGTACGCAGCGATTTACCTTTTGATACTTACATTTTTTTTCACTAGCTCTTGTGCTTCGACGTTGCGAGATAAGAAAATCAAGCGGATCTCGATACGCTACTTGAGACGATATTTGTCGTGCTAAAGCATTAATATTGATATGTCGTGCTAAAGCATATTTCGGACGTGAACCGTTCCGACGGGCCTCATAAACAGACCCACACATCTGTTTGTTCTTCAAGCTGATTTAGATGAAAAAGTATCTCTTCGAAAGGAGAGGAATTATTTCTCGTCGGTCAGCCAATCCTCGTAGTGCTCGTCTGCGTACAAGACATTAACTCTATCGATTTTTTGTAATAAAACGGAATACATAACTTGACTTCCGCACTACGCATTTGGACCCCCCTACATGTACGTGTACATCTGTACGGTAATTGCCAGGGGCCGTTAATAACTTTCAGGCGTGAAAATAGCTGCCTTGAAAACGGAATTCTTGCATAATCTGTTCAAATATACACACCTTGGGTAATTTTCTACTTAAGTAAAGGGAAGCTATATATTGACTTGAGTAATGAATAATTCTTGAACGATAACGATCGACTTAACGGTCATAAACGTGCCAATAAAAGAGGTTACATATAACGTGTTCAACGCAAACCTTGACGGCTACGAAACCGATCAGATTGCATTTTCCGCAGGCTTCTA